TACGTTATTCACGTAGCGAAAGTGAGGTCCCTTATTTCGAATTAGGGGGGGTAGTGTAGACCAAGCCTGAGAGAACTTGGGCAACCAGGCTGAAGGAAGACGGGTGAGAAAACTTCTTGAACAAAGGACTTTAGTTGCTTAAGTTAGACTGAAGTCTTAGAAGCGTATTTTTACTTCTGTTTCTTTGGAACCATTTGTGTCTTTGCCTTATACTTGGTATCACTTAAACCTGTGTCCTTGTCTTAATCCACCTGTTTTACTTTTCCCATAACCCAGCTCAGAGCTTGGATTGAAACAGGGTTTGTTAACCCCAGTAAGGTAACAAGCGGCTGTGTAGGGTTTTGTGAGCATACCAGTAAGGAGGAAAGGGGGCGCTGCAGAGAGATGTCTCTTAGGAACCTGGGAATGGGGGTTCACTGGCAGAGCCCGGGTGAGTTTGCTGGCAGGGCAGACATGCCAGCGTGCCAGGGAGCAAACACAGTTTAGCAGCAGCAAAACTCCCACTTGCTGAGGCCAAGAGGGATAACACAGTAACTCACCGCTCTGGGAACCCCAGCGGCTTGTCATACCTGCCCAGGGAGGTGCTGACAAACCGGGATCGCGTCACCTCTGAACCGTCTCGGGGCTAAACTAAACAGATCCAGGACCTTCCGTCTCATGCTCACAGGCCGGTTTCCCAGCCCTCGGCTCGTTCTCATGGCGCTTTCCGAATCCTGTCTAATTTTTGGATGTGCGGACACCAGAATGGGACCCGTGCTCCAGTAATGGGCTCTCTAATGCTGGATACAGACGTAGCACTGCCGCCCCACTCCTCCTCAACATCCCCCCGCTTATACCGCCAAGGGTCACGCTCCCCGCTTAGCCCCAGCATCGCCCTGGGAGTCCCTGGTTAGCTGGTTCCCACCATGGCCCCTTGATGCTTTTCAGAGTGACTGCTTTCCAGGACACAATCCCCCAGCTCACAAGCGGGACCTACATTCTGTGTCCCTAGGTGCCATCAAAAAGATGCAGCCACCGGGGCTGGCTCTGCCCTGCAGAAGCCCCACTGACCCTTCAAGACGGCCGTGGGTAAGGACTGATGTCACCATCCTCCTTCCCCCGTCCCCTACCAGGAGATCTCATGTTTCAGGACATATTACGATCCCTGCAGAGTGCGGGAAGGAATCTTCCAGCGTCACCCAATTAGCCAAGTGCATTATGGGGGTTTGAGCCTTCCTCTGTAGTATCAGTGATCTGCTAACACCAGGGGACCAGTATTTAAAGACCAATGGGCAAAACCTGGGATCGAGTGTCGACAGAGGGGCCAGGATCCTTAGACAGGTGAATGAAAAGCATCTGCTTCAACCCCCCCACAGTCCTGATCCAGCCTAGAGCAGCTGGCGTCCCTCACCCTTTCTTGTATAAGGCCAGCTCGTTGGTCAGACTCTTCACTCGGACACGGAGGCTCCTCTCCGACGCTTTCACCTCCGCCAGCTGCAAGGAAGGGGAAGAAATCTCACTGCTTCAGGTGCTGGACATGCTCTGGAACGGGCCCAGGAAATCGACCCAGCAGACAGGCTTGCAGCCCAGCCGGACAACGGAATCTGGGCAGGGCTAGGTAACTGCCAGCAACATTCCCCTTCGCTTCCTGACCTGAACTGGGGTGCCATGGTGTTGTGTTAAACAGCTGCCACGTTCCACCCCAGAGGTGGCTGCATTTCAGGGGTGGGCAAGTGAGCCCTGTATAGAGAGCCAAGGGCTTTGGGATCTTTGGGGGTACGGTGCTATGGAAGATCTCAGGGTAATAATTATTACCAGGGCTGTCAAACGATTACAAAAATTAATCGCAGTTTTAATCCCACTGTTAAACAATAATAGGATACCACTTATTTAAATATCTGTGGATGTTTTCTATACTTTCAAATATACAGATTTCAGTTCCAACCCAGAATACAAAGTGCTCACTTGATATTATTTTTGACTACAAATATTTGCACTGTAAAAAAAATAACCGAGGCACCGAGAGGGGTAGCGACTCGCCTAAGGTCACGCAATCAGTCAGTGGCAGAGTCAGGTTTAGAACCCAGGAGCCCTAGCGCCCAGCCCCCCTGCTCTAACCCCACTTCCCTCCCGGAGCTGGAGCTAGGACGCAGGAGTCCTGATTCCCAGCCCCCCTGCTCTGACCACTAGACCCCACTCCCCTCCCATGCTGCTTCCACCAAGGTTTGTCTCTCCTTCAGATCTTCGCCTTTAGGAAGCTCTAGGTGAGGAATCTGGAGACCTGACTTCTGGTCTATGGGGGGTGATGTCACACCAGCACTGGGGGCCGGGCCGGAGGAAGAGAAAAGGGGTTGTCACACCAGGAGGCGTGTGGGGAGGCTGGTACACCAGCGCCAGGCTGGGCGTGGCTGTTACACCATCACCTGATGGGGAGGGAGAAGGGTTACACTGGTGCCAGGGCCTAGCCGGGGGGTTCACTACCCCACCTCGTCAGCCAGCTGCCGGTTCTCCTGCAAGCGCTTGCTCGCCGCTCGCTGGTGCTTGCTTCGCTCCTTCAGCAGCTCCTCCTCCAGGCTCTGCACAATCTTCTTCAGGATCTTCACCTCCTTCCCGGCGCTGCTCTTGCTACAGAGTTTCAGCTCCTCCTGCAGCCCGAGCAGGGCCGACTCCACCTCCTGCTTCTCCTCCAGCACCCGGCCCAGCCTGGGGAGTCAGAGACACGCACAGGCAGGGCTTAGGGGGCGCAGTGGCAGAGACGGATGCAAGGGATCGGCACTGCCAGTAGGAGGCGCTGTGACACGACGCTTACTGTATAGAGCGAATCCCCTTATGGCAGCAGACCTCAGAGCACTGGACAAACATTAATTCACACTTAGACTCGCCGGGATGAGACGATAAGCCCCGTTTTACAGAGGGGAAACCGAGTCACGGAGAGACGTGGTTTACTCCAGGTCACCCAATGAGTCAATGGCAGAGCCCAGAACAGAACCCAGGAGTCCTGGCTCCCAGGCCCTCTGTAGTAATACCCAGACCCCTCTCCTCCCTTGGCGTCAGTCTGAAGCATTGAGCTGGTATTCTTATACGGGAGGAGCAACAGCTCAGTGGTTTGAGCATTGGCCTGCTAAACCCAGGGTTGTGAGTTCAATCCTTGAGGGGGCCATTTAGGGATCTGGGGCAAAAAAAATGAAGCCGTCAGGGACAGTACTTGGTCCTGCTGTGAAGGCAGGAGACTGGACTCGATGACCTTTCAAGGTCCCGTCCAGCGCTACGAGATAGGTATATCTCCCTATATTTTTTATTTTAAGTAGTGGATCGGCTGGGACAGCTCACTGCGCCCCAGGGGCAGGTGCTTGAGACAGCCTGGGGGGAGGAATCAACTCAACGCCGAGGCTCCCGTCACCCAGCCCCGCCGCTCACTCACTCGTCCCGCAGCCGGCGGATCTCCGCGTCCCGGAAGTCCCTGCCTGGTTTGGCCTTCAGCCCGGCCAGCTCCTCCTTCAGCTCCCTGATGACCTTCTGCAGCGCTACAGGGTCTGGCTTGCCCACGTAGGGCAGCGGGAGGGGGTAGTGGATCCTGTAGAGAAGGAAGAGGTAGGGGCAGCAGGAATCGGCACATGCCCTGAGGTTGCTACAGTCACATGGCTACACAACCCCCTATATCACCCCTCCTCTCCGGTTAGATTAAGAGCTGGAATTCATTAGAGTAATAGCAGAAGGGACCCTTGTGATCTTCTAGTCTGACCCCCTGGATCACCCAGCCAGAGACCTGCCCGGAATTAACTCTGCTTTGAGCTCCAGCAGATCTCTCTGACAAACATCCAATCGGGATTGAAAATTGCCAGGGATGGAGACTCCACATGACCCTTGCCGAGTTGTTCCAACGGCTAATTACTGTTCACGGTTTGAGCCTTATTTCCAGCCTGAATGTGTCTAGCTTCAGCTTCCAGCCACGGGATCATGTAAGGCCTCTGTCCGCTACCCTGAAGAGTCCTGAGCAGATACTTGTTCCCCAGGTAGGTACTTATAAGACCGGGATCAAGTCACCATTAACCTTCTCTTTGTTAGGCTAAGCAGACGGAGCTCCTGGAGTCTCTCACTATAAGGCAGGGTTTCTAAGCCTTCAGTCATTCTTGTGGCTCTTCTCTGACCTCTCTCGATTTATCAACATGTCCCGAGTTGTGGACACCAGAGAGGGACACAGGATCCCAGCAGCGGTCGCTGCTAAATCCAGAGGGAAAATAACCTCTCTGCTCCTACGTAAGATCCCCGAGCTGCTGTTGTCTTCCCTAGTCCACCCCCTGCTCCGAGCTGCCCTTACCTGTCAAACTCGACGGAGTAGATGAGGATGAGGTAGCGCTTGGAACTCAGCAGCGAGGACTTGGAGGCGGAGGGCGCGTGCCTTGGACCCACCCCAATCTTCCGGCTCCTCAGCGCCTCTAGGTCAGTGTAGGTGAGGAGGTCCAAGGTGACCGACTCGCTGCTCTGCGGGGAGACGCGCTGACTCAGAGGGACGCACCAGCCCACCCCCTCCACAGTGAGGGAGGAGGTGATAGTGTGTGGCTGGCCATGGGGCTGCCCCTAAAGACTACAGCTCCCAGCATGCCACTCTACACGAAAGCGAGTGACAGCAGGGATGGAGCATCACATGCAGGGAACTGCGAGGCAGCTGGCTGTTACGGCCAGCTCCATTTTTCCACAGAACAGGGGGGACCCTTGGGCTCCTAGCGAGCTGTCCAATGAGACTCATGGCAGCCCAGATCCCCTTCTGCCATTGCCAGGGGCATTGTTAGCTGTGAGCGCTGCAGGCCTCACCTGGCTCAGGGCAGACTCCAGCATGCTGCAGAAGATCCCAAACTGCTTGAAGTTCCCCGTCTTGTGAGTTAAATCTTCAATGACTGGGAGCAAACGAAACAGGGAGAGACGCTTGTCAGGCATGGTCAGGCTCAGCTCCCCCCAGGAGTCTGGGACTCCCAGCCCTCTGAGCGTATCACTGGACTGCACTTCTTCTGGGAACTGGAAGGAAACCCAAGAATCCTCGACACTCCCCTGCTCTATCCACTAGGCCCTACTCCCTCTCAGAGCTAGGGATAGAACCCAGGAGTCCTGGCTCCCAAGCCTCTGCTCTAACCACTAGCCACCACTCCCTTCCTGCAGCTGGGGATAGAACCCAGGTGTCCTGCATTCCCAGCCCCCCTGCTCTAACCACTAGCCGCCACTCCCTTCCTGCAGCTGGGGATAGAACCCAGGTGTCCTGCATTCCCAGCCCCCCCTGCTCTAACCACTAGCTACGACACTCCTCCCGCAGCTGGGGATAGAACCCAGGAGTCCTGAACTCCCAGTCCCCTGTTGCTCCCTCCCGCAGCTGATACAGCCCTCACAGGGGAGGTGACCCACGCAATGGGGTTGGCAGGACACTCACAGGCGGCGTCAAACTCTCCTCTCCACTGATCGGTGGTGAGCCGGTCCTCCACTTCCACCTCCAGGACGCTCCCGGTCACGGTCATCCTCACAACGTGCTCTGTGCCGCGGAAGACGTAGTCAGCCTGAAGCCCCTGCAGCTTGGCCATGGTGAGCCCTCCGCGCTCTGGCCCTGCGTTCCCAGGCAACCCTGCAGCAGGAGATGGAGTTCACAGGAATTGGGATTGACACTAGGATGGCAGGGGGCGGTGGGGCGGGAATGAGAAGATGAGCAGAGTGAGGGGCGAGGCCCAAGGCTGGGGGTCAGGATTGAGGGGCATTGGCAATGTAGGGAGCCCTGGGCTGGGAGAGTAGGGGGGAATGTGGGTCAGGATTGAAGGCCACGGGAGAGCTGTGTGTGGAGGGAGCCCAGGGCTTGGGGCACAGGTGGCTGCAGGTTGGGCCTGAGGGACACTGGCAGAGCTGGGGGCCGGGGGATAGCAGCGATTGAGTCAGGGAACAGGGTCGGGACTGAGGGGCAGCCCCCGTACAGCACCACACTACAAGTTACACTCCCCGGTGGGAACTGATCAGATTTCAGACCTAGCTGGGCCTGTTGAACACGTCTGCCTGTCTCCCTCCTCTGTTAGTTCAGGACTTGCTCCAGCACCCATGGCAGTGGAGAATTCCATCCCTCACATCCACAGAGCGCTTTCCGCATAGACTCGGCCTGTTCAGATAACACACACGAGCCCCGGATTGTCCTGTCACTGGGCGTATACGGCCTACTCCGCTAACGAGGTGACCGTGATCCTTGGAGGTGTAAGCAGGGGAACAGCAAGGTGTAGAGTCTCTAGGTGATGTCTTTGGCTTTAGTGAGACCAAAAGGATGCTCACAAATTGGAGAGGGTTCAGAAGAGAGCTGCTGGACTGTTTCCAGATCTGGGGAACCTGCCTCATAGCGAGAGATTAAGTGTCTACGCAGGGACACTCACCGAAATAGCTATTCTGGTGTAGTTATTTGAATATAAGTCTCCCCCATCCACACTTTTATTCCAAAATACAAGGCATTACTCCAATATAGCTTAATCCACTCTTATTCCAGAATGCAAGTGTCCACATGGGGATTTATACCAAAGTCACTACTCCAGAATCAGTATTTCAGTAAGTTTCCAAGTGCAGACAAGCCTGAAAGAAGCTCGATCTATTCAATCCAAGATTAAGCGATGACTGGATCCCAGCCGTCGGCACCTCCAAGGGGAGGAGATCTCTGAGAGTGGGCCGCTCTTTAATCCCGTTGACAAAGGCAGCATGAGATCCAATGGCTGACGCTGGACGTATTCAGGCTAGAAATAAGGCACAATTTTTTAACTAATTACTGGGACAACGGACCCAGAGACGGGGAGAGTCTCCATCACTTGGGGTCTTTTAACCAAGCGTGGGTATCTTCTTGAAAGATCTGCTGTAGTTCACACCGAAACGGTGGGCTTGATACTGAGATCACTGGGGGTGTGATGCTCCAGCCGGGGCTCGGCAGGAGGTCACACTGGATGAACAGAATGGTCCTTTCTGGCCATAAAATCTACAATTCTGTTTACTAGCAGGATGCACAGGCCAAGCCTATGAGCAGGTGCAGAGACAGCGTATATTAGAACCACGGTGCACATGCACTGGGGAGCAGAATTCCCTGATGGCGAGCGCTGTAGCACAGACAGGGCTCAGGTGTTTTTCTAACTGTGTTGTCTGACTGATTGTATTACAGCTCCCACCACTGGTCCTGCCTGGGAAGTGGCACCAATGGTACTGCAGCTCCCGTTAAGGGCAGTAGGGAAGGGACCTCGAGAGGTCATCTAGTCCAGTCCCCTGCCCGCATGGCAGGACTAAGTATTATCTCAACCATCCCTGACAGGTGTTTGTCCAACCTGCTCTTAAAAATCCCCAATGATGGAGATTCCACAATCTCCCTCGGCAATTTATTCCAGTGCTTAACCACCCTGCAACACAGCCTGGTGCAATTACACTGACGCAATGCTCTAGGGCAAAGGTTCTCAAACTGTGGTCCGCAAACTCCATTCAGGTGGTCCGTGGAAGTTCCCTCTACGGTGCGTGCCTGGGCGGCCGCACACAAGACAATGAAGGGCAAGGGAGAGACCTCTCTCCTTCCCAGCCCCAGCTCAGGGGCTGCTGTGGTGGGGGAGAGGGTGAGACCCCACTCCTTCCCAACCCCAGCTTGGAGACTGCCGTGGCAGGGGAGAGAGGGCACATCCATCGCACTAGAAAGGTAAGACTACCGATATTAAAATATGAGTTGTCTGCTTTTATTTGTAGAACAAAAAAACATTCATTATTAAGTCCAAAAAAGCGACAAAGAGTCCTGTGGCACCTTATAGACTAACAGAAGTATTGGAGCATAAGCTTTCCTGGGTGAATACCCCTATGATACTTTTATCCAAAGCACTTTACAACAGTTAGCTAACGGTACAAACAACATTTGGGAAGATCATTAAGTGCTCCACCGAGACCCTCAGCAATTTTCAAGTGGTCCGCGAAAAAAAAGTTTGAGAACCACTGCTCTAGGGCACAGGGAGTGGTTGGGTGCTTGCTGGGGCCGCTGTCCACTTGTGGGAGCAGCAGTGCTGATAGGTCTAAGCCAGAGGTGCTCAACGTTTTCCATACCAGAATCCACCCTCCCAGTACAGCAAGGGCCAGGGCTCCCAACCCCAGGCCGTCTTTGCTCCCAGGAGGACAAACAAGGGAGGAAGCTGTTTGCAGCTTCTCACAGCTGAGAACAGGCTGGCTGCATCTGAGCCAGGGGAGCCGTGATGGCTGCACCCACTCTCAAGGCCAGGTGCTTGCGTAGAGGAGGCCACCGCCCAACCACTGGGTGTTGAGGGAGGCAAATGCCACCATGGAAAGGGCAGAGCTGCTGCTCCGGGGCTGCCTCTTGGCTCCCACCAGCCCACAGAGGGGATCCGCCACGCAGCACTGTCCCCCACCTGTCAGACACACACACACAGCTCCATCCTGACCCACGTGGCTGGAGGCCAGGCTCATTTCTTAGTGGGCGTGACTGGGAAGGTGAATGAAAGGCCAGGGTATACACAGGGGCTGAACAAGCCGTATGCTGGAGTCAGGATGTCTGTGCTAGCTAAGCTACGCAGGAGGTCCCTGGTGCGAGGGCCCATGGAAGAGATGAACCAGGAACGTTATACCTGACAGAGCAGGTTGTCCAGGGATCGGCGCCCCAAAAGTAACCACGCTCACGCCGAAGCGCGCGATGCCATGTATCGCTCTGAATGCAGGTGTGATCAGAGGTAGTAAAAATGTCGTATCAGGTGTAACTTTGGAGCACCCGCTACCCGCCCCCTACACTGGAGTCTGATACGCTCAGCAGAGCTTTGCAGCAGGACGAATAAAGGCATCTGAGTCGGACCGAGTTCTTGGGGAACCCCAACAATGGCACATGTGGGGGCAGGTGGTCAAACCCCCCACACACACCCCAAAAAAAACAGCCCCCCCGGCTGCCCCAATCCCCAGTACCACAGTGGGCAGAGCGGTGCTGGGTAAGGAACAGGGACTCTGGGGTGGGATGGGGGGTACCGGGGAGGGGACCCCATGGCGGGGGGGGGGCACAGGGAGGGAGCAGGAATGGGGGACCCCATGGGGCGGGATTTAGGGAAAGGGCAGCTGGGGGTCAGGAAGTAGCAACGCCCCCCGGACCGGCCAGGGCATGGAAGGAAACTCCTGGGGAGGGGGGGATCCGGGGGTCACAGACCAGGAGGGAGGTCACTGGG